AAAGCAAGGCCGACCTCACACACAAGCTCGGTGAGCAGCCACATCACAGGCAAGCTGTTCAGCTCTCAGGCAAGTCCTGTCTCCTTAGGCTATGTCTACATTATGATCTAGGGGTATGAATTCCTAGCTCGCATACATATATTTATGTTTGCTTGAAGTGAGCTAGCATGATTATAAGCAGTAGTGTAGTGGCGGTAGCATTTACAGCAGCTGTGGAGGCATGGCTTAGCCATGCCAAGTTCATACCAACAGGGGTCAGGTGGATTTGTACTCAGCACAGTTAAACCATGCCACAGCTGCTGCTGCCCATGCTACCGCAATTACCCTATTTATACTTGCGCTACTTCTCACCAAGCTAGCACGAATATGTGTATGTGAGTTGGGAATCACACCCCTAGCTGGTAGTGTAGACAACCTCGGAGAGAGGAAAGGGACTAGGGACCGAATGGCTAGGCAGCAGTTCTGCGGAAAAGGACCTAGGGGTGACAGTGGACGAGAAGCTGGATATGAGTCAACAGTGTGCCCTTGTTGCCAAGAAGGCCAATGGCATTTTGGGGTGTATAAGTAGGGGCATTGCCAGCAGATCGAGGGACGTGATCGTCCCCCTCTATTCGACATTGGTGAGGCCTCATCTGGAGTACTGTGTCCAGTTTTGGGCCCCACACTACAAGAAGCTTGTGGATAAATTGGAAAGAGTCCAGCGAAGGGCAACAAAAATGATTGGGGGTCTGGAACACATGACTTATGAGGAGAGGCTGAGGGAACTGGGATTGTTTAGTCTGCGGAAGAGAAGAATGAGGGGGGATTTGATAGCTGCTTTCAACTACCTGAGAGGTGATTCCAGAGAGGATGGTTCTAGACTATTCTCGGTGGTGGAAGAGGACAGGACGAGGAGTAATGGTCTCAAGTTGCAGTGGGGGAGGTTTAGGTTGGATATTAGGAAAAACTTTTTCACTAGGAGGGTGGTGAAACACTGGAATGCGTTGCCTAGGGAGGTGGTGGAATCTCCTTCCTTAGAAGTTTTTAAGGTCAGGCTTGACAAAGCCCTGGCTGGGATGATTTAATTGGGGATGGGTCCTGCTTTTGAGCAGGGGGTTGGACTAGATGATCTCCTGAGGTCCCTTCCAACCCTGATATTCTATGATTCTATGATTCTCTGCCAGAGCCACCTAGGGAGACAGGAGCATATGAAAGAGCATCTGCTGGCTTGATTCAACCTCCCACCCAGTTTCTGGGTCCTCACAAAGTATCAGGAAATAGTGAAAAGTTGAGCCAAACCCACAGTGGGTGCTGGCCCGTGGTCAGGATAGGAGGCTAAGCAGGAGTATCCCACAAGGAAGGGAGTATGGGAACAGTTACCTGTCAACATCTGCCTCCTGCACACCTGCCTTCCCCTGTCTCCCATTAACTGCTACTTCTCCACTGAATGTTTTCTGATCTAGAGTCCTTTGGTCTTGTCTGCATCCAGCCAATTCCAAAGTTAAATTTACCAGCTCTAGTAAGTTTTATTTTCCTGCTTCCTCAGCTCCACACCTATCGCCTTTGAGAAAGGAGCTGTAGAAATGGGAGATTATCATTATTAGGATTAAATGAGAGACATCAGTAAAAAACAAGATTGTAGAGAAGTGATGAAGGAAAGAAGTCAAAGAAAGGCCAGCAGATACTACAGAGGTTGCTCAAAAATAAAGCTGGCCAGGAAATGGTTTTCCTGTCCCAAAAATGTTTTTCAAGAATTTGAAGTGTTTTTCTATCCTGAATCTGGAAAAAAAGTCAAACTCTCAAAAATGTTAATTTACCAACAAGCTGAAAAAAATTCAGTTTAGGTTAATGAAATCGCTTTGTTTCAATGCAGACCTTTTTTGTTTAACAAAAAATACTATATTGAACTTATATTTCAAAATGAAAAGTCATTTCAAACAAAAAAACAAAACTTTTCAAATGGGACCTTGTGACAATTTCAAAACTTCTTTTTCCAATTTTTTTCCGAAACGAGAAACTCATCAAAACTGACCCTTTCCCACAAGCAGTTTTGGTTCCAATGATTCTGCATTTTCTGACAGAAAAAAAACCATTTTGTCAAAAAATTCCCAACCAGCTGTGCTTAGAATCATCAGCCTTTGTCAGTCCCCCTGCAGGAAGAAGGTCTCTTCACTGCTATTCCTAACTATTCATCTCTATAGACCAATCTCAGTCCAGATTTTATTTTACAATTGATTTAAAATATTCCAAAATCAGCTAAATATATCTCAAATATATATCTCTGAGGTCAGAGGGCTCAAGTCCCAGAATTGGCCTGGGCATCTTCCCAGTGCTGATGCTGCAATACAGCCGGAGCACAGCAGGTGTGCTTTACTGTTGGACCTGCATCCTTCAGAGGAGATCTTCAAAAGTCTGTTCTGCAAAACTCTGGTGTCTGCTCGGATGAAATTAAGGAGTAGGAGGTAGATAATAATTAATGATTTGCACTTATATAGGACCTGTCATCTGAGGACTTAAAAGCCTTTTACAAAAGTAGATATGTATCATCCCCATTTTACAGACAGACCTCCAAAGCCAAGCTCATCCAGTGAGTCAGTGGCAGATTTGGGAAGAGAACACAGGTCTTCTGACAAGCAGACCCCTGCTCTAACCAGTACACAATGCTGCCTCACACAGTGCTTTTCAAAAAGAATTGGTGACAATCCTCGTGTCCTGGCTGGAATGCCTTTGTTCAGTAAAAAAAAAAAAAAAAAAGCTCTGATATCTGTGAATGAATACAGGATGGCTGCTGCCTTTAATCTCACAGTCAGCATGTTCCAGTCCAGGCCAGTAGTGACTGAAAGCTGTTCACTGGCCCATGTGAAATAAATTTGGTGGGTCTCAATCTAGTTTCTACTTAATTGGTGTCCATATCATAAAACCCATCACATTTGGCGCTAACTGGCCCCCTTGTTGGCAGTCCCAGCAGAGAGGCCAAAGGCCAAATGAGTCACAGAGACTGAACTTTTTTCTCATCTTCAGAGGGGTCCTTCCAGGGTAGGGCTGAAATAATATTGTCAGGGCAGGGTGTGTGCACATTTGAGAAAACTTGCACTGCTGCTGCCTGGATGCTATCTGTCCTGTGAGATTTTCTGTATTTGGGCATTAGTCTGACATCTTTTACCAGATTCACTTCACACAAAATACAGGAAATAAAAAAGACAAAGAAAAATAAGTTAAACACTAATAAATAAACGTTTCAAGGAATGATTTCATCTTACTGACTGTGGAAGTATGGTAGGGATCTGAGCTTAAGCAAATCAAGCGGGCCCCTTATCCATATTTCTTTCCTATATTCTGAGTGAAAGCGGCAGCAGCCAGAAAAATTGAAACATCAACAATTAATTGGAAATGTTAAGTCTGTTGTTCGTGCAAAAAGCATAAATATTTATATCCTGAAGGCTGACTTTTGGGTTCTCTCCTCAGCAGGAAGAGATTTACATTTTAAATAAAGATTTTTTTCTTTCTGCTCCTCAGTAAATGTGAGCAGTTTATTATCCCCTTAAATGAGAGTCTTCTGGCCCAATCCTGCAGTCCTTTTGCACATACACTCCCATCAACTTCAATAGAAATTACATGTATGTAAAGACTAAAGGATCAGTTCTCTTATTTACAGTCAGAATGAGAGGGAGCCTGAAACAGAAAGTTAGGACTTGAGATCACAAAATGAGGAGACGGATGAAATTAATGACTCCTGAGATACTGAGTTAATTTTCGAAATCTGTCTTCCATAAGAAAACAATGAAAAAATGGTTGGACAATTAGAACATAAGGAAGATTTTACACTATTAACTATTGATAAAGAGCAGGGAGAGAAATACTTGGAAAATGTAAGCATACCAGTACACTGGGCTGAATGATTTGCTCTTTAGGGTGTTTAGGGAATTAGCTAACAAACATATATCACCCATTGATTTTAGAAAAGTCATGGAACTCTGGTGACATATGAAATATTTAAGAAAATCAAACATAGCCCCTGCCCCAGTGCTCTCCCCAGATTCCATCTCCCCTCTCTTCTCTTCACCTTGCTCCTGTAATACTGTCCCTGCCTCCATCTCCCCTCTTCTCTCCCTTCCTGTCATTTCCCACATTGGTGCCAAAACTGACCCAGCCTCCCTCTCATTTCCACTCACCAGTTATTCCCCACTTTGACTCCTGTGCTCTGCTCTTTCACTTCCATCTCCTTTCCCCTTTCCTATCGCATTTCATTTAATCCCACACTCTCTGCCCCACCTACTATCTACTCTGCTGGTACTCCCCCATCGCCTTAGCTCTGCCCCTGTCTCCATCTCCTCTCCCATACCTCTGCAACCTCACTTCCCATGCTTGCTCTCCCTCCATCTGTTCTCCCCTCAGCAGTCACTCTCCACCTCAGACCCTGTGCTCTTCCCTATTTCATTCTCAATCTAAAGAAACCTCAGAACGCTTCTTTCACTAGATGGAGGCTGGATTTACCTTCCCTCGTCTCACCCTCCAGTACCCTTCCTTTTTCTATTTTAATCATTTTTATCTTTGTCTGATTATTATTATTATTACTATTATTATTAATAATAATATTTAAAACTATGCCTTGCCTTGTATACACTGGGATTTTAACACAGTAGCACAGGGGTGGGCAAACTTTTTGGCCCGAGGACCACATCGGGGTATGGAAATAATAATAATAATAATAATTAATAATAATACATTTTAACACTGAAAAAACCCCTGTTACTAACTTTTCCATAACTGTTGTTTTTCACAACGTGTTGCACATGTCTATTCCAATGTAGGTGTGCGCTCACTTTGAGCACAGCCCCTGGAAAGTTTTCTCTCAGTGGTGTCTGTTGGTATCTGTTGGGTCAGCTCTGGATTTGGCCGAGTGGTGTTGCAATCAGCATGGCAATAAACTCCGAACCCTCCACCTGCACAGCTGCTTGAGAATCACCTACATTGGAATGGACATGTGCAAGGACTTGAAGAAAGAAAAAACGGTTACTAACCTTTCTGTAACTGTTGTTCTTTGAGATTTGTTGCACTTGTCCATTCCAACACCCTCCCTCCTGTCCCTCTGTCGAAGCTGGTTGGCAAGAAGGAACTAAGGGGGCTGTGGGTCAGCAGGACCCTTTATACCAGCGCGATGAGTGTGCGACTCCAGGAGGCATCAGAGCCGACCAGATGGAGGGAAAACTTTCCGTTGGCTGTGCTCGGGGCGAGCACACACCTACACTGGAATGGATATGTGCAAGCACTCCAAGAAGAATGTAAGTTGCCAATAAATTCCAGCAAAATGCCCTGACAGTGAGATAGCTGTGAACTCCTTTGTACATTTCAAACATGGCTGGACACACCCTTGGAGAAAAGACTGTAGGGAATAATCCTCCCCTGGCCCCTTGGTAGTCTAGTAGGATTTTTCTGTCTTTAACGTCTATGATTCTGGAACATTTCCAGCAGTTACGTGAGGTTCCCAGACTAAGACCTTGACCGTCCCAGACAGTGCATGCTGCCTCCTGTTTAATAGTGGACACTGTACCCTTTGATGAAGCTTGGGTTCTCCAAAGACAACTTTCAAACTTTGGGAGCAGCCCCAACTCCAGGGCACGGACAATGTGGAGGGAAGAGAGATCTGAAGTGCCAGTGTTAGTCTGTGGCTCCATGCTAGATATTAATTAGTGCAGATCATCCCAACAGGGTCAGCAGACCAGGCCAAGGACCTCAAGAAGCTCACCTCATAGTAATCACCAGGATAGTACTTGCTCCTTTGCCCTTGACTCCCAAGAAGGTAAAAAAGAAAGCAAACAGTATGATGGGAGAGTGATTGCATCCACCTCTGTTTTGCTCCCTTGTTTCTGAGACCTCAGAATTTCAAAGCAGGATTTTTTATTTCATTTATTTTTTGTTAACATGTTTTTTCCTCTGGGACTAGTTCTCCTGGTTCTCAGTCATTTCCTCCTGTTTCCATGGCAACTACAGCTGACTCATATGTGTGGCTGCCATGGAAACGGCACTAGTGCCCCTTTGAAAGGCTGCACTGAAACAGGAATGAGATTTGCATCTCTGGTGCTGTGTGGAGCAAACCTTGTCTGACTCTCCTGGGGAGGACATGAGGCACACTGTATAAATTCAATACAAAACCCAAACTAAATCCTTTCTCAGAGGGATTTTGAAAGCTGGTGAAATGGGTACATAGTAGAGAAATTGGATACTTGGGTTTGGCTGCTCAGGGTTGTAAAGGAATTTTCAGTGCGTTGTGGGCACACCAATTTCTTTGGAAAGACCAGTTACAAGCTGGCCATCTAGCGAGAGGCTAGAGTTTACCTGGACCAGCTAGCACATTTAAAACTATGCCTTGCTTTGTATACACTAAAAGAAAAGGAGTACTTGTGGCACCTTAGAGACTAACCAATTTATTTGAGCATGAGCTTTCGTGAGCTACACTGGGATTTTAACACAGTAGCACAGGGGTGAGCAAACTTTTTGGCCTGAGGACCACACCTGGGTATGGAAATTGTATGGCAAGCCATGCTCATGAAATTGGGGGTTGGGTGCGTGAGGGGGTGAGGGCTCTGTCTGTGGGTGTGGGCTCCGGGGTGGGGCCAGAATGAGGAGTACAGGGTGTGGGAGGAGGCTCTGGGCTGGGGCACGAGGTTTGGGTATGGTGGGGGAGGGCTCTGGCTGGGGGTACAGGTTCTGGGGTGGGGCTGGGGATGAGGAGTTGGGGTGCAGAAGGGTGCTCCAGACTGGGACCGAGGGGTTGGGAGGGCAAGAGGGGGATCAGGGCTGGGGCAGGGGGTTGGGGCACGGGAGGGGGTCTGGGGTGCAGGGTCTGGGCAGCGTTTACTTCAACCAGCTCCCAGAAACAGCAGCATGTTCCTGCTCTGGCTCCTATGCGGAGGCACAGACAGGTGGCTCTGCGTGCTGCCGTGGTTCCCGTCCTATGGGAGCTGCAGGGCCAGCACTTGGGGCGGGGACAGTGTGTGGAGCCTCCTGGCTGCCCCTACACATAGGAGCCGGAGTGGGGACATGCCGCTGCTTCTAGGAGCCACTTGGAGCCACGGCATGCATTGAGCGGGGCAAGCTCTGGACCCTGCTCACCAGCGGAAGCTCTAGAGCCACATTAAAATGTCTGATGGGCCAGATGCGTCCCCCAGGCCGTAGTTTGCCCACCCCTGCAGTAGCATGTCAGCTAGCACATCTTAAAATACACCTTTTTCCTAGTGAAGACAAGGCCAAAGATTGTATAACCATGTATAACTAGGATGCTCTCCTCCTTACTTTAGTTACATAATGACAAAGAGAAAAGGAGTACTTGTGGCACCTTAGAGACTAACCAATTTATTTGAGCATGAGCTTTCGTGAGCCAGAGCTCACTTCATCAGATGTGTACCGTGGAAACTGCAGCAGACTTTATATACACACAGAGAATATGAAACAATACCTCCTCCCACCCCACTGTCCTGCTGGTAATAGCTTATCTAAAGTGATCAGCAGGTGGGCCATTTCCAGCACAAATCCAGGTTTTCTCACCCTCCACCCCCCCACACAAATTCACTCTCCTGCTGGTGCTAGCCCATCCAAAGTGACAACTCTTTACATAATCAAGTCGGGCTATTTCCTGCATAGATCCAGGTTTTCTCACTTCCCCCCCACCCCCATACACACACAAACTCACTCTCCTGCTGGTAATAGCTCATCTAAACTGACCACTCTCCAAGTTTAAATCCAAGTTAAACCAGAATATCGGGGGGTGGGGGGGGAAGGAAAAAACAAGAGGAAACAGGCTACCTTGCATAATGACTTAGCCACTCCCAGTCTCTATTTAAACCTAAATTAATAGTATCCAATTTGCAAATGAATTCCAATTCAGCAGTTTCTCGCTGGAGTCTGGATTTGAAGTTTTTTTGTTTTAAGATAGCGACCTTCATGTCTGTGATTGCGTGACCAGAGAGATTGAAGTGTTCTCCGACTGGTTTATGAATGTTATAATTCTTGACATCTGATTTGTGTCCATTTATTCTTTTACGTAGAGACTGTCCAGTTTGACCAATGTACATGGCAGAGGGGCATTGCTGGCACATGATGGCATATATCACATTGGTGGATGTGCAGGTGAACGAGCCTCTGATAGTGTGGCTGATGTTATTAGGCCCTGTGATGGTGTCCCCTGAATAGATATGTGGGCACAATTGGCAACGGGCTTTGTTGCAAGGATAAGTTCCTGGGTTAGTGGTTCTGTTGTGTGGTATGTGGTTGTTGGTGAGTATTTGCTTCAGGTTGCGGGGCTGTCTGTAGGCAAGGACTGGCCTGTCTCCCAAGACTTGTGAGAGTGTTGGGTCATCCTTTAGGATAGGTTGTAGATCCTTAATAATGCGTTGGAGGGGTTTTAGTTGGGGGCTGAAGGTGACCGCTAGTGGCGTTCTGTTATTTTCTTTGTTAGGCCTGTCCTGTAGTAGGTAACTTCTGGGAACTCTTCTGGCTCTATCAATCTGTTTCTTTACTTCTGCAGGTGGGTATTGTAGTTGTAAGAAAGCTTGACAGAGATCTTGTAGGTGTTTGTCTCTGTCTGAGGGGTTGGAGCAAATGCGGTTGTATCGCAGAGCTTGGCTGTAGACGATGGATCGTGTGGTGTGGTCAGGGTGAAAGCTGGAGGCATGCAGGTAGGAATAGCGGTTAGTAGGTTTCCGGTACAGGGTGGTGTTTATGTGGCCATTGTTTATTAGCACTGTAGTGTCCAGGAAGTGGATCTCTTGTGTGGACTGGACCAGGCTGAGGTTGGTGGTGGGATGGAAATTGTTGAAATCATGGTGGAATTCCTCAAGGGCTTCTTTTCCATGGGTCCAGATGATGAAGATGTCATCAATATAGCGCAAGTAGAGTAGGGGCTTTAGGGGACGAGAGCTGAGGAAGCGTTGTTCTAAATCAGCCATAAAAATGTTGGCATACTGTGGGGCCATGCGGGTACCCATAGCAGTGCCGCTGATCTGAAGGTATACATTGTCCCCAAATGTGAAATAGTTATGGGTAAGGACAAAGTCACAAAGTTCAGCCACCAGGTTAGCCGTGACATTATCGGGGATAGTGTTCCTGACGGCCTGTAGTCCATCTTTGTGTGGAATGTTGGTGTAGAGGGCTTCTACATCCATAGTAGCCAGGATGGTGTTATCAGGAAGATCACCGATGGACTGAAGTTTCCTCAGGAAGTCAGTGGTGTCTCGAAGGTAGCTGGGAGTGCTGGTAGCGTAGGGCCTGAGGAGGGAGTCTACATAGCCAGACAATCCTGCTGTCAGGGTGCCAATGCCTGAGATGATGGGGCGCCCAGGATTTCCAGGTTTATGGATCTTGGGTAGTAGATAGAATATCCCAGGTCGGGGTTCCAGGGGTGTGTCTGTGCGGATTTGATCTTGTGCTTTTTCAGGAAGTTTCTTGAGCAAATGCTGTAGTTGCTTTTGGTAACTCTCAGTGGGATCATAGGGTAATGGCTTGTAGAAACTCGTGTTGGAGAGCTGCCTAGCAGCCTCTTGTTCATATTCCGACCTATTCATGATGACAACAGCACCTCCTTTGTCAGCCTTTTTGATTATGATGTCAGAGTTGTTTCTGAGGCTGTGGATGGCATTGCGTTCCGCATGGCTGAGGTTATGGGGCAAGTGATGCTGCTTTTCCACAATTTCAGCCCGTGCACGTCGGCGGAAGCACTCTATGTAGAAGTCCAGTCTGCTGTTTCGACCTTCAGGAGGAGTCCATCTAGAATCCCTCTTTCTGTAGTGTTGGCAGGGAGACCTCTGTGGATTAGTATGTTGTTCAGAGGTATTTTGGAAATATTCCTTGAGACGGAGACGTCGAAAATAGGATTCTAGGTCACCACAGAACTGTATCATGTTCGTGGGGGTGGAGGGGCAGAAGGAGAGGCCCCGAGATAGAACAGCTGCTTCTGCTGGGCTGAGAGTATAGTTGGATAGGTTAACAATATTGCTAGGTGGGGTGAGGGAACCATTGCTGTGGCCCCTTGTAGCATGTAGTAGTTTAGAAAGTTTAGTGTCCTTTTTCTTTTGTAGAGAAGCAAAGTGTGCATTGTAAATGGCTTGTCTAGTTTTAGTAAAATCCAGCCACATGCTCAAATAAATTGGTTAGTCTCTAAGGTGCCACAAGTACTCCTTTTCTTTTTGCGAATACAGACTAACACGGCTGTTCCTCTGAAACCTGTCATAATGACAAAGAGCCATAGAGTAAATGTGCTTCCATTTATCTGTTTGATTTTCCACATTGTCTGCCTCATATGGCTCTGTCCTGCAGGAGTAGCTGCATATATACTATGTGGGGTAGTGGCTATGCCAGGCCCAAGCTTGCTATACCCTCACACAGGAGGACAGCATGGAAACAAGCTAGGAGTATCCCCCAGAATCCCTGCCTGACCACCACTGGGCATGGTGCCCAGAGGCATATTGCCTTTGAGTGGCAGTGCTTGAGATGAAGGTTTGACTATGACTGCATTATTTGTTCTGTGTTTATTGAAATTCTTGTTTTGATGTTCCATACTTTTTTGACTTGTGTATAACCTGTTGGTGTTGTGGCCATTGCCAGAATCATACCATCATAGAATATCAGGGTTGGAAGGGACCTCAGGAGGTCATCTAGTCCAACCCCCTGCTCAAAGCAGAACCAATCCCCAACTAAATCATCCCAGCCAGGGCTTTGTCAAGCCTGACCTTAAAAACTTCTAAGGAAGGAGATTCCACCACCTCCCTAGGTAACGCATTCCAGTGTTTAAATGTTTATTTGCTCTTTGTTTTTCTCTCTAGGAGCCATCACTTGGAGTGGAGTTGACAGGATGAC